CCACACGTAGACACACGTAGGGTTGCCACCTTTTTTGAACAAATATACTAATTTTCCCAGAAAGTATGCAAAAATATAGTACTTAGAAATTCCGGAGAGAAAAAAAGTACACATTTATTTTTAATCTTTATGTCCGTATGTACTCAATACAAATATGAATGTGTTTTAATAAATATATTAATAGTTACTTTCCAAATATCCGCTCAATTTAATAAAATTATATCTTACCTGACCGCTAAATCAACCGCCGTAGAGTCAACATCACCTGCAGATTCCTCGTGTAGAGGCGAAACACGTGTCAAAATTATCGTCGATGGTGTCTTTCCTAGAATATTGGTGTTGGGAGTAGTGGTGTTGGGAGTAGTGGTGCTGGGATTAGTGGTGACGGTATTAGTGTACGCAATTGAGGGAGGGCGGGAGGTGCTCTTCAAACTAGGTAAGACACATCATTTTATTTTATTGAGCGGATGGTTACAAAGTAACTATTAATATCTTTATTATAATGGATTTCCCCAAAGTAACGCCCGATTCTATCAATTATAAATGTTTTTTTCCATATATATATTTGTTATTGCTCTTTGCTTTGGCCATCAATGATCTAACCACCTTACCTTCTACCTTACTTCTAAAATAATTATAGTTGTCTAAGCAATTTAGATTCATATTAAAATTAATTAAAAATTAATTTTTAATTAAATTAATACGCGCTCTTTTCCTTTCTTCTTTCAATTTTCCATTCATGGTGGAAAAAATTCTTTCCGTAAAACATATTTTTTTACGACTTTCAATCGCAGTTTATATAAAAAAACGACAGTTTAATTAGGGATAAAAATATAGTATTTTTCGTACTATATTGTTTTTCTATAGTACATGTATAGTACAACTGATTGAAATATAGTACGATACTATATATTATAGTACGGGTGGCAACCCTAGCCCCACGTAACGTGTTATGCCTGCAGTAGAGGGATGTGGCCCAACCAGGGAACAAGCTACAAAATTCTCGGAGCTATTACGGCTCGGCACAGCAAGATTTAGATATACGATGAGAAGCAAGTACTTGCCAAATAATCAATGGCTGAACGTAACTCTTTTCTGAAAATGGTAGAGGATTAGCGTTTCCAATTTTTGGGATGGCTGACGCCATCTGTCGGCGACCTATCCAATATAGTTGGTGTCGTAGATGTTTAAACTGACAGAAGAATGTATTCGCATACACTAGATGGCGCTAGCGGTATCAATGAACTAAAATAACATTCAAAGTAACATCTTATTTTGTAAGTTTACTATCTTATTTTGTAAGTTTAGTATAGATATAAGCGATTTGGTTGTATATTATGTAAGCTTATATTTTATCAATAAATGAATATGAATATGAACAATGTATCTGTCTTCGATTTTATATTATTTAGTCCTCATCATCGATGTCGATGACAGCGACCCTAGAAATCAGGATGTTTTCCTATCATGAGCCCTGACTTGCTAGGCAGAACTTGGTCTAAAAATCTCTTTGACATGCATGGCAGTATAGTTGTCCAGCTGAGTTGTACGCTACATACACTATGTGTAGGGAGACCTAGACTCTCTCTTAACACAATTGGAAAGTACCTAAGGAAAGAAATTAGTCAGTACATAGATTCGGACGAAAGCCCTTAAGGTTTTCCACACTACCTATATACTCAGTAAGTAGTGTGTGCCATATCGATGCAGACTTTTAAACACTCTTTTATTAGTGATTTCTTAAATTTACGCGAACAATACACATTGAATGAAATTATATATACGGATTTTATCTCGTTTAATTAACTTATTTTAACTTATTAGTGACCGACATAGCCCAACGGATTAGTAAGCTGAAGTGGCAATGGGCCGGCCATGTAGCTCGAAGAACCGATAACCGATGGGGAAGAAAGATTCTCGAGTGGCAGCCTCGCCCGGTACGAGGCTGCCACTTGAGAACCTTTCTTCAGTAGGCGTAGTGTAGGGCGACCCCCCACTAGATGGAGTGACGTCCTGGTAAGACATGCATGAAGTCGATGGATGCAGGTGGCTCAGGACCGTGCTTTGTGACATTACTTGGGGGAGGCCTATGTTCAGCAGTGGACTTGTGAAGGGCTGTAAGGATGATGATGAACTTATTTTTAATTCCTGCATTTTCGGGTGCTTTGCAGCACCCTTGGTTACGGGGGGGGGGGGGACTGCGATGTTTGACGTCCCGATGTCATAGTTAGCCTGGCTACCTTCGGTTTTTGAATAGTCCTCCAAAACACATAATTTATTAAACACGATAAAATTCGTATATATAATTTTATTCAACCTTTTTATTAGCTTCACTATCTATCTATCTTCCTATGTAACGGAATCTTATAATGTAATTTGCACCAGCTTGCAGATGGTCGATTGACTTGAAAATTTGCGCTCGTATCAAGCAAGAATCCTCGACACTACAATAACTTAATAACTTTATCCTAGTATCGTGATCAGGAGCACGAGGATAAAATAACATAATTACACGTTTTTTATTAGCTGTATGTACGTATTAATGTAATGGAATTTTGTAACTCAACTTTCACCCACTTCTAGAAGTCTGATTGCTAGTAGTACTTATACTAGTATTCTCATTAGGACCATCACAGATCATGATCAATACGTGTTAAGTTTTTTAAGCTCTAATATTATTTCTACGAAAATCATCTCTTCTTAACTAATCTACAGATGTTATTAGTTCGTAGATGTAGTCGTCCCTTCTCTAGGTGCTTCTTTGGCCGCTGTGATTACAGCTTCTTGGAGCCACTAAAAAAGAGATCGCGGGAGGGTGGGGAGGGGTAAATAAAGTGAGAACGCTCCGCTACACCCCAGTTTTATATTACACTAGTAGGTCAGGCAGACGTCCCGATATTTACGACAACCCTTTGTCCTATAAAAAATCCTTAAATTTTCAATGAAAACTATTGGGGGTCACTTATAAGAGGGACAAAATCTATCTCTCAAGTTGGAGTAGCAAGGAGTGGTTTCGGAACTTAGCGTAACGGAACATCGTGACACGGGATTTTTATATTTGTTATATAAAAATCCCGTATATTTAGAATAACGTGTTCCAGACAATTCGAATCACATCGGTCACGACCGGTCTCATAGTCTGAAGGGATTGTAATCCCAAGGGATGTTTAGAATACCCAACACAGGGATATTTAGAATACCTAACAATCATTTATATTACGATTAAATAAATTTAAAAAAAATCCGCGTAACATCCCAAAAGTTTTTAGATGTAGGGTCTCCCTCTCTAGATGGAAACTTAGTACGTAGATTCATTATGAAAGCGCCTTTTAAAGTAAAACAGTTAATCCATTCTAAGACATCCTCTACTTTTTATAGAAGTGTACTGATGCGTTCTTATGAATCAAACCATTGTGTCCAGTACATCTGTGGGAAGCTTCTCAAGACATTATTCAGCAGAATAACGTTTATCCGATTTTATGTTTTATGGCTTTAATATAAAATTCAAAGCCGTTTGGCGTAATTCGTCGTACATAATGGGTTATAATGATGCGTGGAAGACATATGTATAATTGTGTACAGTTACTCCAGTTGTGCCGTGGTAGCTCAGTGGCTAATTACTCTTTGTTTCTTTCACAGTACGCAAGTAGCACGAGTTCGATCTCCGTCTGTGATATCATTGATTTTTTACAATTTTGATTTACTCATTGCAGAAAAGAGGAAAAACATTCCAATGAATCCATGCTAGAGTACATTGGTGTATATAGAGCGGGCGCCGAGAAGGCTTGTCATTCTAAAATTACTGTTGTGTTACCAACCCAACACAAGAATTATAAAAGTTTGATATATAACAAAGTCCACTTTTTTATAATCAAGGGAGACAAACAAGCACACAGTCCACCTGATGGTAAGTGGATGCTGTGGTCTATAGAAATCCACATTCATCGTCGATCAAGAATCAAAACGCAGATGCGTTGTCACCCCTGAGGACTTAGATGGAATGCCTCGTTTCCAGTAAAAAAGGGTCTCCGGATGTCTACACTCCACCATACGAAGCACAGCAGTATTAAGCTGCTACTTTACGCCGGTATTCTGTAAAAGCGTGTTCCTCTTCCTCGGTCGAGCCGACCCACTCGTGCTACAACCATAATATGGCTGCAGCGTGGCTCTACCACTGCTCAACAAAGGCCTCCTCATAGATTGCCTTATGAATATATTTGCTTTTTGCAACCTCTATTTTATTTTTAGTTCTTTGAGACGTACTGCTATTTGGTTTATTTCCTCAACCGCCTCTTACGACAGCCACGCGAAGATATGGAGTAGTGAATATTCTTATACCGGCAGTACGAAATTTAGTACAATTACGAGTATATAGTTCCAAAATTAAAACGTTTCACGAAAATGTTTTTGTTTAACGTAATTTATGTAAAGAAAAAATTCAAAAATCCATGATCGAAATCGAATATCGAAAAAAACCGCTCGGAGAGGGACACTACACTAGAGTTGAAAATGAAATACATATTGCTTACCTGACTGCCTCGTTGGTCTAGTGGTTGTAGTAGTACGACTGCTGATCATGAGGTCCTGGGTTCGAATCACGGGTCGAGCCAAAAAAATTAATTATTGAGTTTTTCCGTCAAGAAATTCTCAGTAGTTACTCGGAGTCAGGAAGTTGGCGGTGTCTCACCCCCGTGCCTTGGAAAGCACGTAAAGTTCCTGCGCCTGATCTCTCTCCGGTCGTGTCGGTTTACCGTCCCATCGGATTATGAGAGTGAGGGAATAGAGAGTGCACCTGTGCTTGCGCATACACTTGGGCAATATAATCCTGTCCTGCGCCGATGGCTAGCCCCCGTTGAGGCTCGCCGCCGTGGCCTAAATTCGGTCTGGAGGATATTATTACATCTTGCTTAATACCCAAACTTAAAATTTAAACGAATTACGGTCGAATTTCGACCACAGGACGACCACCAGTTGCAATAAATATTTTAAAACATACTCACATTTTCTCTATCTACATCGAGCTGGCTATTGTCCTTCTTCAGTAAGCTGAGCCTGGTTCCTGACCGGCGCTCACTCTTCTCGAATTTCCTGTACCTCCGGTCCGTGCAGAACTGCTTCTCGATCGTCTTCTTCGCCGTTTTAAATTCCTCGGACACATTTTCCGTGGACTTCCATACCTTTTTGGCATTCACAAGTGTCGATTTTGGTACTACTGCAGGTTTTTCACTATCAAATATCTTCTTCGCCTCGCTGATATAATTTGGTATATGATATTCAGTTTCTGGTTTCTTGTTGTTCCCGTTGGCTTCGCTATCACGAAAACCAATTTCGAAATTCTGGCGGAGTTTTTGAAAGTCTATTTTAGTAGCAGATCTTGTGAAGTCTGGAGTGGTGGGTCGGGATATTTCACAGGGAATATCGTAAATCTTCTTATCCTGCAACAAACAAACGAATTATTATTATTTTTTTCAATTACATTCTCACTATTCCATAAGTGAAATTTCTAGAGCGAAGAATGGCAAGAAACTCATAAATTTATTGTTTTGTTTTTTTCTGAATGTTTTTAATACAAAATGATTCCATTTAACAATACTGTTAAGGGTGAGGGTAAATAATGAAAGAAAATACAAAGAACAGACAACTCTCAACCTCAAAAAAATAAAAGTAGTAAAATAGCAGTTTAATGCTGCTATGTATATTATGGTGAGTTTAAAGAACCGGAGACCCCTTTTAATTAAAAGAAGGCATTTCGTTGAGGACGGAATGCCTCTTGATCCATCACATCATCGTTGGAGCCACACGCAAGTGTGAGTAACGATCCAAGAGCAAGTCTTATCCGACACTATTCCGATGATATCCCGGACGTCAGTCTGAGCGAGATTAGAATAGCTCTCCAGCACCTTAAAAACGGCAAAGCCCCAGGCGAGGATGGAATTACAGCGGAGCTTCTGAAAGCGGGTGGAACACCGGTACTTGAAGTCCTTCAGAAGCTCTTCAATTCCGTCCTCCATGGTGGCACTACTCCGGAGGCGTGGAGCAGAAGTGCGGTGGTCTTGTTCTTTAAGAAAGGCGACAACGCTCTCTTGAAGAACTACAGACCTTCTGAGCCGCGTCCACGTGCTGTTTTCGAGAATCATTACAAATCGTCTCGCACGAAGATTTGACGACTTCCAGCCTTCCGAACAAGCCGGTTTCCGAAAAGGCTTCAGTACCATAGACCACATACATACCCTGCGGCAGATTGTACAGAAGTCCGAAGAGTACAATTTGCCACTTTGCCTGGCATATGTGGACTATGAGAAAGCCTTTGATTCCGTCGAAATTTGGGCGGTGCTACAGTCCCTTCAACGGTGCCAAGTTGACTGTCGGTATATCGAAATGCTGAAGTGTTTGTACAGTAGGGCTACGATGGCCCTCTAAGTACAGCACCAGAGTTCGAAACCTATCCAACTGCAGAGAGGTGTAAGACAGGATGACGTTATATCCCCGAAACTCTTCACCGCTGCGTTGGAAGACGTTTTCAAGCTACTGGACTGGAAAGGATACGGTAATAACATCAATGGCGAGTCATCACGCACCTTCGATTTGCCGACGATATAGTCCTTATGGCAGAATCGCTGGAGGACCTTAGCACTATGCTCAATAACCTCAATGGTGTCTCCCAACGGATAAGTTTTAAGATGAACATGGACAAAACAAAGATCATGTTTAATGTCCATGTCACACCTATGCCGGTAGTTGTTGGGAGCACTATGCTCGAAGTTGTTGACGAGTACGTTTACCTGGCACAAATAGTACGACTAGGTAAGTCCAACTTCGACCGAGATGTCAATCGACGGATTCAACTCGGCTGGGCAGAGTTCGGGAAATTACGACACATCTTCTCGTCAGGTATACCTCAATCTCTGAAAACTAAAGTGTACAACCAGTGCGTATTGCCAGTGATGACTTACGGATCTGAGACGTGGTCCTTGACTGCTGGCCGTATGAGGATGCTCAAGGTCGCACAGCGAGCTATGGAGAGGACTATGCTCAGAGTTATGCTCTCTGCGTGATAGACTCAGAAATGAGGATATCCGCAGTAAAACCAGAGTGACCGACACAGCCCAACGGATTAGTAAGAATGGGCCGGCCATATAGCTCGAAGAACCGATAACCGATGGGGAAGAAAGGTTCTCAAGTGGCAGCTTCGTACCGGTAGGCGTAGTGTAGGGCAACCCCCCAATAGATGGAGTGACGACCTGGTAAAACATGCAGGAAGTCCATGTATGCAGGTGACTCAGGACCGTGCTTTGAGGCATTACTTGTGGGAGGCCTACGTTCAGCAGTGGACTTGTGAAGGGCTGTAATGATGATAATGATGATGATGATTCCATCCTCAGGGGTGACCACGCATCTGCGTTTTGTTTTTTAAACAAGGATAAATGTAGATGTCTATGGGTCCCGGCATCCACTTACCATCAGGTGGATTGTATGCTCGTTTCCCACCATTTTGTATGAAAAAAAAAAGATTTTTCGTTTATTAAAATATATCCATCCATTGGGACGCTCGTAAATAATCCCACAAACCCTGCGAGTCGAAATCATAACCCTCTGTTTGCAGTCGCACAATCGGTTAAAAAAGTCGAGAGCGTTTATGCAAACGACTATTACAAGATGACTGCGACATATGTATTCCGGTGGGTCGATAGCCTCGTAGCAAAAAGGAAAGCGGCAACTCACAGCAACAGATTTGGTGATCGGAGACATATGTCGGCCCGCGACTTGGCACGCTATCGTTACAAAATTACTATGCACTTTCTCCTTTTGCAAATAGATTTAGTTTAGCCTGCATTAAAAATCTTCGTATATTAAGGTTGCCATCTTAAATCTTTTCTACATGCTTTTATTTGCTTCGCGAGTATCTATCTATCTATGTATTTATGTACCTTTTAATATAATTTTCACTAACTCGTAGATGGCCGATTGAAAATTTGGACTATCAAGAAGCGATGACAATAGAATAGAATAATTTTTTATTCATTATAGATTACAAGTAATTCTTATAGAAAGTCAATATTTTACGTTACCACAATATATAATTACACCCACTAGACCAAATGCTTCGTTGGTCTAGTGGTTGTAGTAGTGCGACTGCTGATCATGAGGTCCTGGATTCGAATCCCGGATCGGGGCGACAAAATAAATTATTGAATTTTTCTGTCAAGAAATTCTCAGTGACTGCCCGGAGTCAGGAATTTGGCGGTGTCTCACCCCCGTGCCTCGGAAAGCACGTAAAGCCGTTGGTCCTGCGCCTAATCTCTCTCCGGTCGTGTCGGTTTACAGTCCTATCGGATTATGAGAGTGAGGGAGTGGAGAGTGCACCTGTGCTTGCGCATACACTTGGGCACTATAATCCTGTCCTGTGCCGATGGCTAGCCTCTGTTGAGGCAGGCCGCCGTGACCGAAATTCGGTCTGGAGGACATTATTATTTATTATTATATAATACTACTATAATACAATAGTTAAATAACATTTTTTTAGTATCCTGATCAGGATCACTAAAAATATTATCAGAATCATCACAAGTAATGAACAATGCGTGTTGTTAAGGTTTTTTTAAACTCTTACACCCTTATTCATAAACATTTTAAACACTTGATTAGTTAAAGTGTTCTGTCACTTTCTAGCAACAAGTGACTCGCAAATGTCAGAATTAGACAAAATCCTATTTAATTAATCAAGGCGTTTAATTCTTTTACGAATAAGGGGGTTATATTATTATTTAGTTTATATGGAAGTTGTAATAATGGTCTGATATTTTAAAGTCCAAATTTCAACAGTTTAATTTATACGTGCGATTGTAATCACGTGGTGAAATTGCTATATCCTTTTTAGGTCTTTGAAGTCGAAGTTTTTAAAGACAAATCCTTTACCCTTAAACTAAAGAATATCTACTACTACAGAACTACGACTAAACAATATCACAATCTACATATCGTCTTAAAGAGTTACATCAAAAACTTCATTTCCTATGTGGTAACCCTAAGGAAAGGAATTTTTTCTCCAAAATTTATATAGGACCAGTCCCGAAGTATATAACCTATTTAATTAAAGAAATTGATCATTATCGGTTAATTTGTAAACCTCCACTTTTTTTTAAATTGAATGATTTTTGACTTCCTTACCGATTTTATTCGATATTTTTCATATATCAAAAATTCCGACGTTTACACCACTGAACTGCCACGGTTAAGCGGTTTGTAGTCAATTAACATCAAGGGAACATTCTAGACCTCATCTCACGGGTAATCCGACCCGCGTATGAAACCGCAGATCAAATTGACCTGTCAACATGGCCGTTGACATGCGTCTACACTCGTGCATAGGGTTACTAGTTACGTAACTGTCTAGACCGAGGATATAGGATATGAATCTCTACTGTAACGGTAGCCGAAATACCTACTCCTAAACGCCTTTATTACTATTATTTTGGAGTATTAGTAGTGTATTCTCATCTGGTTAGGCTGAATAAATATATAAAAGGAGATGGTAAATATACATAACTATACACCTACATATTTCATATACTAACATAAATAAATAAACAATAATAAATAAAGAAAAAGAAAAAAAGCCCAACTAGATGGAGGCCCTCGGCAGAGGAAACCGAACGGCCGAGGGTTAGAGGGAAAGGGAAAGAAAATCCCACCGCCTCCTGCATTTACCAGCCGTCATAAAGCCCAGCCGCCTCATTGACCCGAGAGGCTGGCTGGGATTAGCCCGTTTGCAGAGACGGCTACAGGAATAATTTCGGTCGGCAGACCACTCCACATGTCGGTCACTTCGTGAGCCAGGTCCAGATATTTTGTTTGCTTATCTGTTTCGGCTTTCACGAGGTTCTCGTCATACGGAATGGTAATGTCCACCAAAAATATCCTTGACTGTGCCCAGTCCACCAGCACAATATCAGGCATATTCGCAAGAATAGTCCTGTCTGTGATGATGGCCCGGTCCCTATAGAGCCTGACGCGATCATTTTCGAGCACGGCTTCCGGCAAGTACTTTGTAATACGGCAATTTCCGGTCTACGAGACCGTATTTCAGAGCGAGCTCCTGGTGTAGAATTCTGGCTACTAGGTTGTGTCTGTGCAAGTACTCTGAGTTAGAAAGCGCCGAAAAACCGGAGATGACATGCCTAAGCGACTCACCGGGATGGCGACAAGCTCGACAGACGTCGACGGTGCCATCCTTTAGGATGTATCTCCGATAGTTGTTGGTTATTATTATTATTACTATGAAACAAGTCCTTTCCCGTCTGACGCATCCTATAAATGCCTTTTACGACACAAATAGGGCGAAAAATGGAGAAGGGGAGGAAAATAAAGGGGGTAGTAGAAAATAAAGAGGGTAGTAGGAAAATAAAGAGGGTTGTAGGAAACCTCACAGAATTCT